AGTAGTAGTAGTAGTAGTAGTAGTCGTAGTAGTAGTAGTAGTAGTAGTAGTAGTAGTAGTAGTAGTAGTAGTAGTAGTAGGTATAGTAGTAGTAGTAGTAGTAGTCGTAGTAGTAGTAGTAGTAGTAGTAGTAGTAGTAGTAGTAGTAGTAGTAGTAGTAGCAGTAGCAGCAGCAGCAGCAGCAGTAGTAGTAGTAGGAGGAGGTGGAGGAGGAGGAGGAGGAGGAGGAGGAGGAGGTCGGGGAGGGAACTTCGCATCACGCGACGAAGCCCCCTGCCTATAATTACCTGACTCCCGGGAAGGCATCTCAGAGATTCTCGATTTCTCCTCACCTGAACTTGTCCTCGTCTTGGCTTCCTAGTCAGCGACGCTGCACTTCTTGTAGGCGTGGCACCCCGTCTCTTGGCCTGCGTCTCGCCCTTGCAGCCTGAGCGGTGCGTCGCGCGCAGTCGGAGGCACCCTGGGCGGAGGCTGTCTCTGCTGCACTCCCGGCACCACAGTCGGCTCAGCTCATCCGAGGGATGCCGCTGGAAGTGCCCACCAGTCGTGGAAAGTGGGTATTCTAGGACTCCCATATTCCAATCTACTTCAGGCGCCTTCCCATCTCAAGGATCGAGTGTTTTCCCTTCTTTCGTCGTCTTCAGGGGGCGGATGGATATTCAATGCATTTCCAACGCTTTCCTACTTCATATTTCTACCCACTTCTTCCAACCGTTGGGTAGTGCCAGGGCCGCTTCTTCTTGTCTGTTCCAGATTATCAGCATCCCCATGCTGCGCCTTTTGGTTCTAGGGTAGAACTGCCGTCTCTGGAAGCCAGCTCGCAGCTCTTGATGTGGCTTGCAGAACTTCAGACGGAAGGCTTGGCTACGCTTGCGGCTCCACTCGGAACAGGAGCGGATTGAAAGGCTATGCCACTCCTCAGCCGTTCGCCGAGGTCACGCTGGACGAGGCAGTGTATCTTCTCATGATTACGTACGGTGACGGTGGGCAGCCCTCGTCACACAGGTCGGGGATCGCAGCGTCCAGTGTCCTGCTGAAGCTCGGGACCAACGGGTAGCTTCGTCGGAGGATCTCAGTGGTTCCCTTCGGAGTTCAGATGCCAGTACCTTCGTGACTGGCGCAATGGGGAACCAGTTATCTAGAAGGCTCGGATATGGCTTCTCCAATCGTGTCAGCATCTGCAGGTGCGATGCTTTCGGTCGGCCCAGCAAGAAGTACTTGCCGCCCTTGGCTTCCCTCGCCCTGGCGCGATGTCTCTGTCGGACAGCTCCCGTGCCCAGAAGGCCGTGGGGCCTCCTTGTGAATGCCGTGCTCATCGCTGCCAGTGACGTGGTGTGACGCGTTCGTGCGCGCTGGGATCTGCGAGCGGATATTCTCCGTCCTTTTTGCACAGCAGGGCAGCCACCTCCTTTGCTGCTCCACCAGGCTCCTTCGAGGAGGAGGAGGCGGAGGAGGATGAGGAGGAGGAGGATGAGGAGGAGGTCGAGGAGGAGCAGGAGGAGGAGGTCGAGGAGGAGGAGGAGGAGGAGGAGGAGGAGGAGGAGGAGGAGGAGGAGGAGGAGTATATGGTTGCCAGCGGCGTACGTACGGCATCGGAGGGGGGCCCGTGACTTGGGAGCCAGAGCGGCGCTGCGCCACCGTGCCTTTCGAGAGTCAAGGGCCTCTCGGATCCACCATGCGTTCGTGGATTTTCCGAGTTGCAGTTGTGGCGGAAGGGCACGCCAAACGATGCGAGAAAGTACGGCGGGAATATCTGCCACAGAACCGCACGGCGGATGTTTCAGAAGAAATACCTAGCGGAAGCCGCGACAGCAAAGCAGGGCGGACTTCGCCACCAATGTCGGATCCGAAGCCAGGGGACTCTACCCTTCGAAAGCCCGGGGTTCGTTAGGGACTGGTTACCCCAAAAGAGGAACACCCTTCCAGAACCCTCCCGAACCCTCCGAAAATCCTCCTGGAACTCTTCCCGGAGGGTTTCTGGAGGGTTTCGGTTGTTTCGAAAGGAGACCAGTCCGTAGCGAGCCCTGGACTCTCTAACTCTAATTCTCTGTCTTGCTGGCCAGGCCCACCGTGGAGCGGTCCTCTCTATAACGGTGTGCTGGCTCTCATGCTTGGTAGCTTGACTTGTTGTTCCGACATCGAACCTGCTTGCCCTCCCTTGCTAGCACTAGCGCATACATTTTTACTGACGGTGCCTGAATGGCAATGAAGAGTGTCAGAGGTCTTGTGGTCGTCCTCTTGGCCGCCTTGTTCGGTGCAGGCTACGGATGGACTTGCCACAGCTCGACAGACTGCCAGCCGAGCAGTTCGCGTGCCATCGGTACCATCATCCAGAACGACGTCCAGATACTCTTGCAGCTCCCGACGGCAGCAGGGCCAACGCGAGCAGGGCCGAAGCAGTGGTCGGCTGCAACATCGCCAAGGCGCCGGGTGGCTCGTCCATGCTGCTTGCCAGGCTCAGCGAGGCGACGAGCATGGTGGGGACTATGGACGCCCAGGCCGCCTTCACGATCCAGGGATCTAGTCTTCTTGCTGCGCCCAACACGGTCTTGACAGATCCGGGCTTTGCCAAGTCCAAGAAGGTCGGCGGCATTTCCGTGGTGTACGTCGACATCCCTGTCTTCTCTTTCTCCGCTCTTCCTGTCGATCAGGGTCTGGAGGCAATGCTCCTGGCTGATTTTTGAACCCTGCCAGGGTGGATCAACGGTTATCCACTGTCTGTTACAATCTGCGCTGACGAACGTTTCGCGACGTCGAACGGTGCCCTGAGTGCAGTGGGTGACCCGAGTGCAGTAGGTGACCCCCGCTTGCAAAACATTCATGGGTAGCAGTTTGACTTGATGCAGACTGGCGAGCATGTTCTGATTCAGATCCCGAGGTGGGAGAGCATTGAAAACACGCTGCTCCACGTTCAGGCAGTTGCGCATACGTTTGGCGAGTTGTGTGCGGACACGTACTGCATGCGCATTCACGTAACTGGAAAGTGGCCCAGTGTTTTGCAACCTGGTGGTTTCATCTTCCGGGCAGACGACCCCGACGGGTTGCGCAGAGTCCAGATAGATGAGTTTCCGCGGGTTGTCAAACGGACTTCAAATGAAAGTTTTGCACGGACAGACGCTGCAGGGAATCAGGTATCCAGGTGCCTGCGGCGCGTCCTGCCACAGTGACAATTCAGCACTCTGGGTGGTGACTGTTCGAGGGGTGCAACGCTGCAACATGTGCCACCTCGTGCCCCTAGGCTTGGGAGAGCCGTGCTGTGTGACACGTTCTTTAGCGTCGCGCAAGTGTGTCTCTCCTCGGCGTCGGCCTCGTCAAGTCCTAGCAATCCCTTCTCTTCACGGACCTTCTGCCCCACCTTCTCGCCGTTTTCCTTCCTTTCTCTGGATCTATCCTCCGTGGGGCGACGTTTGGAACAACGCCCAGAAGGTCGTAGCATATGCTACCCTGTCCGTCTTGGAGCTATTTCAGGATACCGAGGCCGTTATGGGCATGAGTGTGAGGACGAGGACATGGTGATGATCACGATGACGGTGATGATGATGATGATGATGATGATGATGATGATGATGATGATGATGATGACGGTGATGATGCTGATGATGCTGCTGCTGATGATGGTTATGATGATGATGCTGATGATGCTGCTGCTGCTGATGATTGTTATGGTGATGCTGATGACGATGCTGCTGCTGATGATGCTGATGATGGTGATGGTAATGATGCTGATGATGCTGATGCTGATGCTGATGCTGATGCTGATGATGCTCATGATGCTGAGGATGTCGATCATGATGATAAGTCTGCTGCTGATGATGAGGAGGAGGAGGATGAGAAGGATGAGGATGAGGCGGGCGGGAGGCTGATGGATGATGATGGTGATATTGCTGCAGATGATAATGTTGATGACGAGAAAGAGGGGGAGGTGGAGGAGGAGGAGGCGGATGAGGAGGAAGAAGAGGAGGAGGAGGCGGAGCAGGACGACGTAACATGTGACACGGGCTATTCATCGAGCCCCCCAGAAGACCGTACGCGATTACCTCCCGAGTTGCTGAATGACCCAACGAAGAGGTCTCTTCGAGTACCGGCCGGGAGGCAGGAACACGTGAAACTCTCTTTGTATGGCAATGTTTCGAGCATTGCCGGACGCCCACAACATGTGACACCTCGTCTGAGTTGCGAAGCCTCGAGCATCCCCCGAACAGGCCATCACATGTGGGCCCTCCTCCGTGTGGCACCACGTCGTGACACGTGAAACCTTTACTCTCCATGCCTGCTGGTGCTCTCGTGAGGCCTGCCTGGGAGACGACGAGGAGTAGAAGGAGGAGGAGGAGGAGGAGGAGGAGGACGAGGAGTAGGATGATGATGATGATGATGATGATGATGATGATGCTGATGCTGATGCTGATGCTGATGCTGATGCTGATGCTGATGCTGATGCTGATGCTGATGCTGCTGATGATGATGATGCTGATGATGATGCTGATGCTGATGCTGATGCAGATGCAGATGATGATGATGATGATGATGATGATGATGATGGTGGTGGTGGTGATGATGATGATGATGATCTGCTGCTGATGATGATGAGGATGAGGATGATGATGATGATGATGATGATGATGATGATGATGATGATGATGATGATGATGATGATGATGATGATGATGATGATGATGATGATGATGATGATGATGATGATGATGAGGATGATGAGGATGAGGAGGAGGAGGAGGAGGAGGAGGAGGAGGAGGAGGAGAAGGATCCGAGGAAGAAACGAAGCAGAAGACCACTTGGGGGCCATTGTCGGTTGTCTCGGTACCTTCTTGAACAGTCTTAGGCCCGTTCTCAGCCGTCCGCGGTGCATTTTGGGAACGCCTTTGACCGCTCTCGGCCTTCTGGAGAGACTCTTGAGACTGTATTCCTGACTTTTCGGACCCTCTTGGGCGATCTTGGGGCTCTCTTCGGCGGTCATGGGCCCCTCTTGGGCCGTCTTGGGGCCTCTGGAGCCGCCTTGGGCTCCTTTCCGTCCAAGGGGCATCTCGGAGCTGTCCTAGGGCCCTCTCGGGGCCCTCTTGCGTCGTCTTGGGGATTTCGGCTACCTTTGTATCTCTTGGGATTCTGTTTGGCTCTCTTGCTGTTTTAGCAGTCGTGAGGCTCTGTTGGGGCTGCTAAGGGCTGGCTGGAGTGCCTGTTGAGGCTCGCAGAGGGAGCTTTTCCGCCTTCTCTGGGCTATCCTAGGCCCTCTTGTAACCACATTGCGCCGAGAGGCAGTCAAAATCCACAGAATTCAACAACCTGAAGATTTTTAGGGTTTGGCTTATTTAATCGCTTCGCTCATTCCGCCGGCCCATACAGTCTCATGTCTGCCGTTTGCCCGAGGGCCTGGTGTCAATGCGGCGCTTTGGGGGTTCCTGGGGCCGCTTGGGGGACTCCTGGGGCGCTCGGGGGGGCATTTGGGGGGCCTCCTGGGGCCGCTTGGGGGACTCTTGGGGGCCTCCTGAGGGCCTCGTGGGGGCCTCTTGGGGCCTCTTAGGGGCCTCTTGGGGCCTCGTAGGGGCTTCTTAGGGCCGAGGGCTCGAAATGTTGTTTCGTGTTCCCTCTCTGGGGCCCCTTTGGGGGCGTTCTTGGGGCCCTCTTGGACCGTCTTGGAGGCTTCTTGGGCCGTCTTCGAGCCCTCTTGGGCCATCTTGGGGCCCTCTTGGGGGCCTCTTGGGCCCTCTTGGGGCGATCTTGGGGGCCTCTTGGGCCGTCTTGGGGCGTCGGGAAGCCGAACAGGTGGAAGCTCCAAAATCTCTCAAAAACCTAAGGAAAAACAATGAATTTTGCCTCCGGGGGCCCTCTTGGGAGTGCTCTTGGAGGCCTCTTGGGGCGTCTGGGGGCTATCTTGGGCGTCTTGGAGCGATCTTGTGGCATGTCGGACCCCTCGTGTACCATCTTGGGGGCCTCTTGGGGGCCTCTTGGCCTTTCTTGGGGCTCTCGGGGACGTCTCGGAGCCCTGTTGGTGCGCTCATGGAGCGCTCCTGGAGCGCTCTGGGGGACTCCTCCCGGGACTCTCTCAGGACCTTGCCGGGGTACTTTCCGCCCGGGGACCCCCAGGGGCCGCCCCGCGCGCGCGAACTAGAGAATTGTTAACCAGTTACCGGAGATCTTAGCACGCCTCTGGCCCGTTGGGCCGGCGAATTTCGCCCGTAACGGGCTTGGGTCCAGGGCTCTCTTTTAGTTGGTAAATTCCCGGTCCCATGCTGAGGTGGGCGAGCGAATTGTAAATTTCCGTTCGATAATAGAAACGATGTCAAGTCCCATTCGGCGTGGAACAATTAATGCCCGCTCGAGGAAAATGTGCCCCCAATATCGGATCTTTCTTCATAAAAAATGATGAGGAGCGTTTTGCGCAGAATCCTTTCCACATGACGAGATTCGAGGACCCTCAAATTTTACAACACATGTGGACAAGTTTTTTGCGTGCCCGCTCGAGGACGGCGCGCCCTGCGCGCAGGAATTTCGAGGACGTCTCGAGCCCCGCGCTCGTTTTGCTGAAGGAAGTTTGGTTTTTTGCGTGCCCGCTCGAGGACGGCGCGCCCTGCGCTCCAGACATCTGAGGATGCTTCGAGTGAAACGCCTGTCTGGCAGCGCGAAAGGCCTGGGTGCCCCTGGATGCCCAGGTGGCTCTGGGAGTGCGGTTGGACCATTATTGCGAAGGCCTGACGGCCGGTGCCGCCGACCCTGTTCGCAATGCGCAGCAAGAGGCACGGGCTGTGGGATGGTTTTGGGGAACGGGGAGAAGGACGAGAAGGTGGGGGAGGGAGGTGTCGTATCTGACCCGGGACTTCCCCGGGACTCCCCCGGGACCCCCCCCGGGACCCCCTCTCCCTCCCCCGGCGGGGAAGGGAAAGGGAAGGGGCTTCCCTTCGACTCAATTACGACGTTGCTCAAGGTCGGTACGGGGGGGGGGCGTCGTATCTGACCTGGGGGGGGGGTCGCTACCGCCCCCCGCTACCCCCCCCTCGCCTCCCGGCGGGGGAGGGATCAAAGGGAAGGGGCTTCCCTTCGACTCAATTACGAGGTTGCTCAAGGTCGGCTTGGCTGGAGCCCAGGGGAAGAGGAGTCCCAGGGGGGGGCGTCGTATCTGACCCGGGGGGGGGGTCGCTACCCCCCCCCCCCTCCCGGCGGGGGAGGGATCAAAGGGAAGGGGCTTCCCTTCGACTCAATTACGAGGTTGCTCAAGGTCGGCTTGGCTGGAGCCCAGGGGAAGAGGAGTCCCAGGGGGGGGCGTCGTATCTGACCCGGGGGGGGGGTCGCTACCCCCCCCCCCCTCCCGGCGGGGGAGGGATCAAAGGGAAGGGGCTTCCCTTCGACTCAATTACGAGGTTGCTCAAGGTCGGCTTGGCTGGAGCCCAGGGGAAGAGGTCTCCCAGGGAAAGGGAAGGACAGAGACGACGAGTACAAAGAATGACGGAGATGACGGCTCGAACGGAAAAGCCCCTCACACACGCCGACAGGGTCGGCGGATTCGCCAGGGATCGTGGCACCCGGACCGCAGATGCTGAGTAATTTGCGAAGGATCCTGGCCCTGGGAGCGCGGACACAGCGTGATTGGCGAGGGATCCTGACCCTGGAGGCGCGGACACAATGTAATTCATGAGGGATCGTGGCCCTCGGAGCGCGAACCCAACGTGATTTAACAAGGGATCGCAGGCCTGGATGCGTGCATCTTGTGCGATTTTCGAGGGATCGCGGCCCTCGGAGCGCGAATTCAGTGTAATTTGCGAGGGACCGAGGCCTTGCGATCGCGCACTGGTCCAGCGTTGGATTTTCAGGAAACGGCGGGGGGGCCTAAAAGCGCCCCCCCGAGCACGTATTCCAATACCGAAAAGTATTGGTTTCTGCTCTGGAGAGGTGGGGGTGCCCTTTTTGCGCAACCTCTGCGCGGTGCTTGGTGACCCCTGCGCAGACGGAACCTCTGCGCGACCTCTGCGCGGACGCAGCGCAGATATCGAGGGATCTGAGGCTTTGGAGCGCGGAAGCAGCGCAATTCGCGATGGATCGTGGCCTTCGGAGCGCGAGCCCAGTGTAATTTACAATGAATCGTAGGATTCGTGGCCCTGTAAGCGCGGAGCGCAGCGTGTTTTACGATGGATCGTGGTCCTGAGAGCGCGAACCCAGCGTAATGTATGATGGATCGTGGCCTTGTGGGCGCGGACGCAGCGTAATTTTGCATGGGATCGTGGCTCTCGGAGCGCGAGCCCGGCGTACTTTGGGAGGGACTGTGGCCCTGGGAGCGTGATACAGTTTGATGCTGGAGCGATCGTGGCCCTGAGAGCGCGAGCCCAGCGTCATTGGCGAGGGAGCGCGGCCCTCGGAGCGCGAGCCCGGTGCAACGCACCAGGGGAGCGTGGTCCATGGGAGCGCAGAGGCAGCGCAGTTACACGAGGGATCGCGGCCCTGGCGGCGCGGACGCGGCGCGATTTTTCGTGGGGCCGGTGGCCCTGGGAGCGTGGCGCGAACCCAGCGTAATGTACTCGGGGGCGGAAAAGAGGGGGGTGATGACTAGGGGGGGGTGGATATCATGGCGTGGGCCATGATAGTTCCCCAGATTTCATGGCGCCTCTTCTAATTTCTTTACGTCCCTGGCACCCCCGCTGGGCCGCGCACATGCCGCCGGTCATGATTTGCACCCCCCCCTCTTGGACACCCCCCTCTTGGCCGCGCCCGATGTACGGGGGGCAGTTGCCCTGGGAGCGCGGAGGCAGCGCAATGCACAAGGGATCGCGGCCCTGGGAGCGCGGGCGCAGCGCGATTCACGAGAGGGCGGGGGGAGTGGAGGGGTCTGTCCACTCCCCCCCCCCGCACCTCCATCTACCCTCTGCGTGCATTCAGGGCATCGTCGCTGATTGTGACGCGCGTGCCTTCATCGGACATTCTGCGTACCTTCAATGACGTTTCTTACTACAAGCACTACAGAATCGCGTGCCTTTAGCGTACCTTCGGCGTACTTTCAAAGAGTGTGTCCGAGGTACCTTCAGACGACCTTCGGCATACCTTCGGTATACATGAGTGATTTATCAGGGACCGAGCGTAATTTAAGATGCATCTTGGCACTAGGGGCGCGAAGCCAGCGTAAATTCACGAAAGGTCGTGGCACTGGGAGTGCGGCCGCTGTGTAATTCACGAGGGATCGTGGCCTCGGGGCAGCGGACGCAGCATCACTCACTAGTGATCGTGGCCCTGGGAGTGCGGGCCCAGCGGAGTTTGCGATGGATCGTGGCCCGGGGAGCGCGGACGTAGCGTGCTTTGCGAGGGATCGCGTGGCCGCTGACATCTCGACTACTGACGGGGCGCGGAACTCCTAGGAGGCTCCAGGTGATACGCGGCGCGTCTCTTGGCGCGTCTCTGGCGCGTCCCGTGCCGCGTCCCATGGCACGGTCCCTGACGCGTCTCTTGGCACGTCCGCTGGCGCGTCGTGTAGCACGATCCCGGGCACGTTCCGTGGCGCGTTCCGTGGCGCGTCCCCCTGGCACGTCGCGCGGCGCGTCCCCTGGCACGTCCACTGGCGCGTGCACTGGCACGCTCCGTGGCGCGTCCTCTTTGCACGTCCCGCGGTGCGTTCCCATGGCACGTCCCCTGGCACGTCCCCTGGCGCGTCCCATGGGACCTTCCGCGGCGCGTCCTCCTGGCACGTCCCTTGGCGCGTCCCGTAGCATGTCCCTTGGCGCGTCCCCTGGCACGTCACTGTGCGGCACGGCACAGCGCAATGCAGCACAACAAAGCCCCTGACACAGTATCATCACCATCGGTATCTTCAGCATTACCACTGCCCATGGCCCAAGTTAGGTCCTTTCACGTTTCCATGCTTCGCAGAGCTAATCCCTTTCCGGGTTCGTGGGCCGATCATGTTGGTTGCTATGGGTGCTTCTTGCCTCTTGGTGTAATGTTGGGCCATCTTGGAGGTCTTGGTGATCTCCCTGGGCTGTCTCGCAAGCCCGGGAAAGCTTCGGCGAGCGCCAGGGAGACTCTCGGACTCCCAGAGAGCCTCGAGTGTGTGTCTGTGTGTGTGTGTGTGTGTGTGTGTGTGTGTGTGTGTGTGTGTGTGTGTGTGTGTGTGTGTGTGGGGGTGCGGGGTGCGGGGAAGGTAAGACTTGACGACAGTGTTTCAGTTACGGGGGCCCAGACCGTCCCAGACTCCCCCCAGGGGGAAACTCGGACCCTCACGACACGGTGCGATTTCGTCCCCCCCCGCTGTCCCACCAAGCTTTGAGAGGGTGAGTTTCCCATTTTCGCTGATAAGAACCTCATTCTGTGTGGTGTCGGAGGGTAGGCGGCGGGGGTTGGCGGTGTGGATTCATGGTTGGATTCATGGCGTGTTTGCTGGTTGGGTTGGTTGGGTTGGTTCGGCTGGCCGGTTGGACTGGCTAGTGCAGTTGGTTTCGATTCTCCATGCCCTGATAGGGCTCTCATCAGGGTTTTCTGGGAGACGAATAGGAGATAGAGGAGGAGAAGGAGGAGGAGTAGGAGAAGAAGGAGGAGGAGGAGGCGGAGGAGGAGGAGGAGGAGCACCAGCAAGAGAGATGAGGAAGAGTCGAAGCAGGAGGCCGTTTTGGAACCACCGTAGATTGTCTTGGTGCCGTCTTCACTTGTCTTGGGCGCCTTTCGGCCATCTGCGGAGAGAGTGGGGAGTGTCTAGGACCCCTCTCGGCCGTCTGGACAGTCTAGTGGAACTGTATTCGGGATTTGTTGGGACTCTTTGGTCGTCCATGGATTAATTGTAAGCCGTCATGGGGCCCTCGTGGGGCCCTTGTCAGCCCTCTCTGAGTCTTGGGCCGTCTTTGTGCCATCTGGGCCTCTTTGGCTCTTTTGGGGTTCTCTTTGGCCTTCTTGAGGTTTTCTCGGGGCCGTCCAGGTCTGTCTGGAGTGCCTGTTTAGGGCATCGGGGGGCTTTCAGTTTTTTCCCCAACCATCCTGTGGTGTTGGGTCTTCGTTTTGAAGAGACCGCGCCCCGCGTTCCTCACTTCTTCTTTCCTCCTCCCCCTCCTCCCTCCTCCCATCATCAACATCATCGTCATCATCATCAGCAGCATCATCATCGTTACCATCACCACCACCACCATCATCATCACCATCATCAGCATCATCATCATCATTCTCAGTAATCATCGTCGTGATCATCACCATCATCATCATCACCATCATCATCATCATCATCACCACCACCACTACCATCATCATCAGCATCATCATCATCAACAACAACAGCATCATCATCATCTTCATCATCATCAACAACATAATCATCATCACCACCACTTTCATCATCATCATCATCACCACCACCACCACCACTACGATCATCATCATCATCATCACCATCACCATCACCATCAGCATCAGCATCAGCATCAGCATCAGCATCAGCATCAGCATCAGCATCATCTTCATCATCATCAACAACAGCATCATCATCATCGTCATCATCATCATCATCATCATCATCATCATCAGCATCATCATCGCCAACGTCATCGTCATCGTCATCGTCATCGTCATTGTCATCGTCGTCGTCATCGTCATCGTCATCGCCATCATCAGTGGGGGTGCCCGCTTGCGTCCGCCACAACCCGTAAGGCGTTTCGTGTCTCCATAGGGAGTTTCGCCTGTGGCCCCAGTGGGGGTGGCCACATGCGTCCGCCGCACCCAGTACAGCGTTTCGTGGCCCCATAGGGCGCTCCACGTAATGCGTTCGCCACACCCAGTGTAGCGTTCCGTGGCCGTCTATGGAGCTCCACCGAGGGCCCCAGTGGGGGTGCCCGCATGCGTCCGCCACACCCATGCCGGCACACCCCTCACACGTTTCGTGGCTTGATAGGGAGCTCCACCTAAGGCCCCAGTGGGGGTGGCCACATGCGCCCGCCACACCCAGTAGGGAGCTCCACCCAAGGCCCTAGTGGGGGTGGCCACATGCGTCCGCCACACCCACTACAGCGTTTCGTGGCCCCCATAGGGAGCTCCACGTAAGGCCCCAGTGGGGTTGGCCACATGCGCCCGCCACGCCCAGCACAGCGTTCCGTGGCCTTATAGGGAGCTCCACCGAGGGCCCCAATGGGGGTGCCCGCATGCGTCCGCCACACTCAGTACAGCGTTTCGTGGCCTTATAGGGAGCTCCACCTGAGGCCCCAGTGGGGGTGCCCGCACGCGCCCGCCACACCCAGTACAGCGTTTCGTTGCCCCATAGGGAGCTCCACCGAGGGCCCCAGTGGGGGTGCCCGCATGCGTCGGCCACGCCCATGCCAGCACACCCCTCACACGTTTCGTGGCCCCATAGGGAGCTCCACCCAAGGCTCCAGTGGGGGTGGCCACATGCGTCCGCCTCCCAGTACAGCGTTTCGTGGCCCCACAAGGAGTTTCACCGAAGGTCCCAGTGGGGGTGGTCACATGCGTCTGCCACACCCAGTACAGAATTTCGTGGCCCCATAGGGAGCTCCATGCAAGGCCCCAGTGGGGGCAGCCACATGCGTCCGCCAAACCCAGTACAGTGTTTCGTGGCCCCAGAGGGAGCTCCACCTGAGGCCCCAGTGGGGGTGGCCACATGCGTCAGCCACGCCCAGCACAGCGTTCCGTTGCCTTATAGGGAGCTCCACCCAAGGCCCCAGTGGGGGTGTCCGCATGCGTCCGCCGCACTCAGTGCAGCGTTTCGTGGCCCCTCAGGGAGCTTCACTGGAGGCCCCAGTGGGGGTGCCCGCATGTGTCCGCCACACCCAGTACAGCGTTTCGTGGCCCCATAGGGAGCTCCACGTAAGGCCCCAGTGGGGGTGCCCGCACGCGCCCGCCACAACCAGTATAGCGTTTCGTGGCCCCATAGGGAGTTCCACCGAAGGCCCCAGGTGGACCGCCCGCATGCGTCCGCCACACCCAGTACAGCGTTTTGTGGCCCCTTAGAGAGCTCCAGCGGAGGTCCCAGTGGAACCGCCCGTATGCGTCCCCCCACCCAGTACAGCGTTTCGTGTCCCTATATGGGGGCTCCACCGAAGGCCACAGTGGAACCGCCCGCATGCGTCTCCACAATCCACTACAGCGCGTCGTGGCCCCATAGGGAGCTCCACCGAAGGCCCCAGTGGGGGTGCTCGCATGCGCCCCCCCACCCATCACGGCACGCCCCATCACGCGTTGCGTAGCCCACCGGAAGCGGCACCCACAACGCGTTACTCACAACTACATATGGTTGGGCCCTTCGCCAGGATACTTTTTGTTGTTTGATGCTCATAGGCCCTCTGGGAGGCATCTTTTGCCGAGGGGCTTGGGAAAATCAAACCATTGAGTCACCGGGGTGGGAATCTTAAGGTTATTGAGTGATCTAAACCATCGCGAGGGTTTTCTTTCCTGGTGTCCTGGAATTTCTTGGGCGCACGCGACAGAGCGTGAGACAGGGGGCTCAGAAGACTTGCAGAAACCTCACCAGGCAGCACTCGGCATTCTTCCACGCCTCCACGTGCCAGGGGGCACGACGGCGGGTCTCAATTTATACGTCAAACATCTCGATCGTGCTGGGTTTCCCGTCGGTCGACTCCTGGGCGAGGATGACCACGAGGAAGCGTCTACTCCTTCCCGTGAGTGTCAGCAGCGCATGGCTCTCACGTCATATGCAGCTACGTCCTGATGCGCATTCGCGAGCCCGCAGCTGGCGAGAGGTTGTGGTAGATTTTGTCTCGTCTCTTCTTCTTCCTCCTCCTCCTCCTGCTGCGCAATATCAATACGTGATTCGAGAGTGATTGTTGGTAGGCCGCCATTCCCGCAATGCGGCAATCGGCGTGCGTTTTCGCCTGCCCACGCGCTCCAGCGTGTTGCACTTCTGCTCTGCCCTGTTTTTCCCAACCATCCTGTGGTGTTGGGTCCCGCGTCTCACGCCTTCCTCCCGCTGCCCCCTCCCTCCTCCCATCCTCTCCCTCCTCCTCTCCTCCCCCGCTTTGGCTCACCCCTCACACGTTTCGTGGTCCCATAGGGAGCTCCACCAAAGGCCCAGGTGCCAGCGCTCGCATGCGCCCACCGCACCCATTTTGGCACGCCCCTCACACGTTTCGTAGCTCCATATGGAGCTCCACCGAATGCGGTGCATACAACGGCAGTGCCCACAGCTGCATACGGTTGGGTCTTTCGCCAGGCTAATGCTCCTGATACGCATTCTTGCGACAATCGGCTGCAGAGTCCACTGCTTCTTTTCTGTGCTTGTAGAGGAATTGCGGCATACACCTCTCGCAGACAGGTCAGGGGCTTTCGAGGAGGAGGAGGAGGACGACGATGGGGGAGTAGGATGAGGAGGACCAGTGTGAACCCAAGACGCATCAACGATATTGCATTACACTCTCCCGCCGAGTTCCCTCTTCACAGGCCCCTGGAAGGATTCATGTTCATTGAGGGAAGTGCCCCGTTGGAAGACAGCCGCTTGAAACTCCTGAACTCTGCCTGAACGCCGTTCCTGGGATTTCTGCGAATCCACGTAACTGTTGCTCCCTGACATTCCGACATCGTGTCACATCGCAATTTCTGGGACGTTAACCATGGGAATCTTTAAACTTGTTGTAGACTCTGATGAAGGGACCGCCATCCGCGAGACTCCCTGGCATTCTTGAAGACGAACCTGCGCGGCGCTAAGGCACAGCCACATATCGAAAGCGGCCCGCCCTCCACTCGTGGAGCTCTGGCAGCTTTTACAGTTTCGTGATCCTAAATGGTGAGGAAGTCTCGGGCGAAGCGCCCGGCCCGCCCTACCGACACGCCTCGGGGTGCGACAGGGAGGAGTTGTCTGTAGGGAAAAGGAATGGAGGAGGAGGAGGAGGAGGAGGAGGAGGAGGAGGAGGAGGCGGAGGAGGAAGGAAGAAGATGAGGAGGAGGAGGAGGAGGAGGAGGAGGAGGAGGAGGAGGAGGAGGAGGAGGAGGATGAGGAGGAGGAAGAGGGAGGAGGAGGCGGAGGTGGGGTGAGGAGGATGGAGGAGAGTCAGGAGACATGGATAGGTGGAGGATTTGGGCGAATGTTTTGGGACGTAGTCGGTAAACACGGCAACCTAGAGCCGGGATTGTCGACACAGTGCAGTGGGGACGCACCCTCCCTTGCCCATGGCGTGACCCGACCAGTCGCAGATCCGTGAGCCCGAGAGCAACATCTGCGAACGGCCGTGTTTGTTTCTTTCAAAAGGTGCCGCTGAAATAGTTATTGGGCGATGCAGACTGGCAAGCGGGCATGAAGGGCCAGGAGAGCCCAGTGTGGCGGCTGGGGAGGTCGATTCAAAGGCCCGATGGTAGAGGCTGGGTATCAAAACGGCCCAAGGGGGTCGGCGCAAGATGGTCCCAGAGGTCTCCACGACGGCAAAAGATGGGCCCTGGGACGGCCTCGGCACGGCCCCACAAGGGCCCGAAGACATCCCAAGAGGCCCCCAAACCAGCCCCAAACGGCCCGAAGAGATTTCCAATGTGGCCACGTAGGCTCCAAATACGGTTCCAAAACGCCCCCCAAAGACGCCCAAGACCGCATCTCCAGCATGCGTCCGTTCAAGAGTCTAAATGAAAGCCCATAGCTGGTTGGAGGTGGCTCGAAAGCTCTTCAATAGTGCACCCGAGAAGGCAAAGTAATCGAACTTGAGGCCCTGCCAGCGCAACCCAGAGGAATTTTCTGGCCTTCGTTGCCGTACCTTGTTTTGGCGTCAGGTGCGCGACCAGAAAGGGAGGAGGAGGACGAGGCGGAGGAGACGGAGGAGGAGGAGGAGGAACATGAGGGAGGGA